GGTGACAGGTCAAGAACGAAGTGGAAGCTCCTCCCACCTCTTTCCACTTTAGTAGTGCGAACGCTGGAGAGGAGGCGACCTCCTTTCCACCGTTCGCTCCGCTGAAGTAGAAAGGGGTGGGAGGAGCTTCCACTTCGTTCTTCACCTGTAACCGACAGTAGTAGCGTTGGAACTAGGGTGCCTTCGTGTGCGATTTCCTTAGGGCAACGCTAATAGAACAACTCAGTTGGGAAACTGCCATAGAGCCTGCTTTGTAAAAGTGGCTCCAATCCTTACTGGAGAACCAATCTAAAGGAGATTGCAACGGCACCATTTCTCCCGCAGCGGCCACTCTGGGAACTGCACTTGCAGGTATTGGCTCACGTCAGGACGCGCAAGAACCGGTGGAGCCTTTTCAGAGAGCCATTTCGCTGTAGCTATATAAGTCAACTTTCATGTTTTGACTCGTCTCTAAATTGTGGCGCTGTTATCGTCAGGAAAGCCCTCTTTCCTGATAATTGCAGCATAAAAATACTGCCGAATTTAAAATTTGATAGAAGACGCTTTGAAAACGTTCTTTTTATAGTCCCCCCTCCTCTACCTCAGAACTGGCGATTTTAATGTCCGTCGCCACCTATGGGGCAGTGTTCGAACCAATCCTTGTGGAAGGTGACTTGCTGCTATCATAGAGGGAATATCAATAAACTATTCCTCTTAAGTATCGGAAATAACACATATATCTATAGAACAAGCAGCAGCAGTTGCCTTGACTTAACGTTTGTGTAATCGAGTTTGGCATCGCATGCCACGTGGTTCACAGATGTATAAATGCGGGAAAATGACCATATTCCCACTTATGGAATATTCCATAAATTTTGCAATAAAAAAAACAAAAAAAAACATATTCCTACAGATGCATTGACAGGAATTTGGAGAGACGATATAGAATGGGAAACAAATAACTAATTCTCCCGATTTGGAACTTGTCATTGTCTGCTCTGCAAAATTATTCACGCGCAGGTGTCAATTTTCAAAATAATCAAACAGTGATTGATACGAGTATAAAACGTCTCTGCACAATAGGACTACAGATTGAGAGACGTGCCAGACGATCTCAGAGCCGTTTATACTGAGAGAGTTTGGCCAATGGGCGGAGTTTGTTGCCCTCCAGAACGAGCGGATTTCACGATAACACAAAATGGCGGTACTTCTTTGTCTTCTTTATTGCTGAGAAATCGCATAGAGTTCCTACGAGTCTGAGCCCCGAAACGGCGGACGGAAGTAGTCATTCCCCGGTTGTCAGACTGCGCTGCTGTGGTTGCCAGGCTGTCAAAATCTCCTTAAGAAGGCCAAACTCTCTCAGTATAAACGGCTCTGGACGATATAAACCAGGGGCGGCCAAGCTGCGGCTCGCGAGCCGCATGCCGCTCTTCACGTGTTAAAATGCGCCCCCCCCCCCTTCCCCGCACTTCCCCAAAAAGAGAAATGAAACGCATTTTCGATCAAAAGACAGGTTGCGGTTTGGTAGTTTTGTGTTACTGCTACCTTACTTAGGTACAGTCGGACTGCTTTGACTCTGATGGATTGAAAGTAGTTTGAGATTCGTTTATTGCTCTGGACAAAAGTTTGCCCTCCCCCCCCCCCCCCCCCCTCCGCCGCTCTTGGAAATTTCGCGGTTTTGTTTTGCGGCTCTTAGGCCGGGTTAGCCTGGCCACCCATGATCTGAACTAACAGAATATGTCCGTGTGGCGAGAAGGGTGCAAAAAAAAAAAAGAAAGAAGTAATCATTTTGATGAGCTTGGCCAACGTCGAGAACCAGGATTTTGCGCATAAGTCAATCTCCGAAAAGAACTTAGCACAATTCGGAAGATCTCAAGGGGACTTAATACGACTCCCCAACAAGGGCACTTTCGTTATCAATGAAGAACGCTCTGCAAAATCTATTTCGTATAAAGTCTCCATCCGTTTCAGATCAAACACGACCCAGCAAACAAATGTTTATTTAATATTACACAGTGCAGATCATAGTCGGACCAAGCAGGATGGTAAAAAAAATACAGAGGCCCTGCAGAATATATAGGAGTAATGCACCTACACCTCATAAAATGGGCTTGGTCGAGTTATTCACAATAGGGGAACAAGAAAGAGCTCTTATATTCACAATTCCAAACCCTGCTCTGGTCCGGATAGCATAATATATGCCCTCTACATTCACATGGGTGCAGATCTTAGGAATTGGTTGATACATTCTTTCAGTCTTAGACAGATGGAGAGCTACCCAACGCATGGAAATTGGCAAGAACCACTGATGCCTTGAAAATTCTTCCACTCAAACCAGCTGTTATCGCATTTACTTGGCGTATTATGGATCGATATTGCTAACAATTCTCTATGTAACTAGACATGTGTTACTTGGAGTATAAATAGCTGGGGGATTGACATGAACACCGTGTATTGCTTACTTAAAAAGAGAAACTAACAAATTCATTCTAGTTTTTTCGCCTTATTAGTGGCACTACCTGGGGCGCGACAGTCCTGACTCTGCTGCGGCTATATCGAATTTAGACATAGGTTTGCCCCGGTATTGTCTTTCCCTATTTCATGCACCCGAAAAACTGCTCTCAAGACAATAAAAAGCATAACAGCACGATATCTTCCTGGCTATATTGGAGTACCGGCTCGTACTTCGACTGTGGTCACTCTGGTATTGGCTCATGCCACACCAATAGGAGTCCGACTACTGCTGGAAACAGTAAGAATTGTAATTTTAAAAAAAAGGATTCCAATCACCCGTTTGCTAATATTGAGTTTAAACGACAACAATCTGGCTACTCAAGAGTTATGTTCCAAATTAGATCCTTTTGCATTACGATCTTGCGCCATCCAAGACTTAAATATGCCACCATGAAGACTTTCTGTGCCACATGTCATAGGTGAAATAGATGTAATGAGGGAAAAAAAAGCCAAAATTTGTAATAGTGCAACTTAACTTACGGAACATATTGTGTAATCAATGTTTATGGTGATGGATCGACAACTTCTGATAGCTCAATTTGTTGTTTCATTAAGCTTAGCCGCAACACATCTTCTAGAACACCGGAATCAATCGCAATTCATAAAGCCCAAGCACATGCTGGTGCAAAATCGTCACCCCTCCATGCCGTAGATTGAAACCTATCATTTCACTTTCCTCGTGATTGCCAAGGCAGAGAGACTGTCATTCATTGACTAGCACTTGGTCGAGCATTTACACAAAACTTCCTTTTTTCATCGTGACATGCCAAGGCGGAGAGACTGTCATTCATTGACTAACACTTGGTCGAGCATTTACACCAAACCTCCTTTACCAGATAGGTCAAGCCAGAACGCCAGTGCCCGAGTTGTGATCTAAGTGAAACAGTTTAGCTCAGCATTTGCGATTATGGTGTTTACGATGTACAAAAAAGCAAACTAAAACTTTCAGCCTTTCTACTCTGGTGAAGAAAGAAGAGCAGCGGAGCTGTAGCTTCTGTTCGGGGCGGTGGCTTTCCAGGCGAGCGGTCTGCTCTTCTTTCGCAAGGGAGTCTGAAGCGCTCGACGCAGTCGAACTTCAATCGATAGTGGCCCCGCAACGGTTGCGAAACCATTCTCGCTGCTGCGAACATCGGCGCTCGTTACGTTTCCGCTCTTCTCCCTCCGAAGAAATGCCGTGCTCTGTGAGCGACGGCGGCAGGCGGTCAACCGGCAAACACAACACTCTGGACAGCTACCGCCATCTGTGGGCGACGGCGGCAACCAAAGTTTTGTGTTGACATCTCTTTGCAAGGGATGCGATCCTAGGAAAACTAGGCCTTAACAGCTCCGCTCTAAGAAGCACATTGGCATACCTTGATAGCCTGCCCTTTTCTTCGGCAAAGGTTCTTGGTGCCATGGTGGAGCCACATATAGAAGCAAGAGCCACAAAACCTCTTGTGTTTTTTAAGGAAACAGGCCAGGCTCCTGTTTACAGACGATAAACTTTCGTTTTCATGAAGAGTAGCGTTTCTACAGTGGTCACGGCTCGTGTAACCTCTACACATTTCATTTTTTCTCCTTTCTCAATCCCCTCCTTAATGTCCCTATTCGTCTCTCCTTGCACAGTGTAGCTAAACGGAAGAATTATTCCTGTTAACCGCTTCGACTTCCTCTTCTGTTCTTATTTCTTTCCTTGAGTACAGGTTCTTACTGAGTCAAGTTGATATCTGTCAAAAACGAAAAATAATTGTATGAAGGTTTTGCCCCAAATATCGTAACCGTGAAAGGCAAAGTACGGCTAGAAATCTTGACAGAAGTTCTATTCTCAGCTGACGTTCTAATAAAAAGAAGGAAAAAACAACAACAGGAGAACAAAAGTAATATATCAAGGGAATGTCGTTGCAAATATTGCTGCAGCCAATTCTTTAAGTTCGTTCAATATAGTACGTAATAGAACATTATCAAAATCTAATACAAGAATGGACAAAAAACGATGATTATGGACAGAAAAAATCAGTTTAGTAAAAATAATCCTGTTACTGTAGTTTCCTCGATGACAAGGTCCCTGAATTCGCTTTGATGACCTGACCTTTCAATATTTCACGTGTTTTCTTATGAAACCGCCTCAAGTTCCCGATGTTTCCATACAACAGGGCGCATTCAATGTCCGTCAAATGCACGGCGATGTTCTCCGACGACGAGTTTTTGAGAAAGAGCGCATGTTTTTTTAGCTTAACCTGCAAACGTTAAGCTAAGAGATTTAGCCTATAACGCAAAAATACTCCACGCTGAAAAACGGTATGATGCTATGATGATAAAATATTAAAATAACAAAATGCTCAAATAAAAAAAAAAGAACCGTTCGTGTGGCCAAGTAGTTTTCCGCGGCATTTTGGGCGGCTTTTAAACATAGCGATGATCTATTATTCACACGGACTTATTTTTGGATTCTTTTACTTTTGGTGAGCGTGCTTTCAAGAACAAAGCTCGTGCTGATTTACTAATTCGAGGCCTTGTTTTATTTTCAGATATGTTTCAGAGACAAGTGTGGGAATTACAGCACTGATCTGCCTCCGCTACCGACCTTGCCTACAACCGAAACGACCACACCAACAACGACGACCACTACAGGCAATGATGATGATGATGACGATGATAATGATGAAGACTCAAATTTGAAGTAACTTTTTAGGGGAAGCTCTCAACGGTGTCAAGTCCTCTATCATGTAAACAGCATGAGGTGCTAAGAGATCTTGAAACGTCGGTATTTCGCGTATTCCTTTATAATAAAACAAATTATTTACCAAGAGCGTGCTCACTCTATCTAAAAACTGGCATAAACCCTCGAAAAAGCATGAGTATCTGTGTTTATAGTTAAAAAGATATAATTTATCAATAAAGCATTACTTGGTAGGTCTTATTTTGAACAATTTGATTGAGTTGCCCCATGTTCTCACAAAGATGTGTAGAGTATTTCTAATTCTCATCCTGAATTCCTTTAAAATGTGGCGTGCCAAGCCATACGAGCTAGAAATAAAACACAAACAGACCCAGGTGAGCGATACGTGTGCTTAACATTATACCGCGTCGTTTTAGTTATGATACCTACCGTCATCCAACAGAGATACTCTTAAGAGAAAGTCATATCTGAGATGATTATGCTCACCTTGATCAATCTCCGCCGTCTTGGAATTCTCTAATCTCGTCTTGTGGCGCCACTTCTAAGATATTAAGTAAGATAAAGTACTACGTATTCTCTGGTATATTTATTTATCGAGGTTACCATGCAGCGCCTAATATGTAATACTGCGAAGAGGGGATTCTTATACATTTAAAAGAATACAAATATAGAATCATTTAACATGAGCATGCACAAGTTTCAGTTATAATGCTATGTAAAAGGGGAAAAGCTTTAACATGAAACAGCCTAAATTATTTAAAAACAGTTCTGTAGAGGTGATGGAAAAAATCTAATTTGGAAGTTTGTTCCAGTCGCTTGTTATAGAAAGAACAAATGTATGAACTAGGGTGGAGAATAAAAATCAACACGACTTACTCATTATTTGAATTATGATTTAAATTGTGATTTAAATTCGAGCAGTTGGATATTTAAGTCAAATATTTCGCGCAAACATATACTTAAAGTTAGTTTTTCATTTATCATTTATTGAGCATTTGATTCATTCTTTCTATTTTCATGTTTTCATATTTAAATAAAGTATTCATCAAAGAAAAAATATCTACATCAGTGTGAACACTGGCAGCGAGCACTGCTCTTATGAGCAATGAGGGCGTTGAGCCTTATTTCTACTTTCCACTTAGTCAGTTACGTAAGGCAAATCAGAACGCGAAAAAAAAGTATTGTCCTATTTAAGCAAGTCAGGACTGGAAACAAAAGGAAATGGAGCTTCCTACCCAACTAGACAAATTAAGTTTTTTTTTTTTTATATTGCCGCCCGTTTTGCCGAGCGAGCGCGTTGCGATTCTGCTTCCAGGGCTTGCCCAAGTCGAACGCAGGATAACTCGAGCTGGCAAAACACAATCCTATTTAACGTTGCACAAGATCACAGTTCACAGTCTTATTGCCCGTAGTACGGCTTGAGATGCACGACGTGGACGACTTGTGGTCGTGGAGGACGGCGTGATGAAGTTCTTGTTCCGTCGGGCATCACCTCGTAGTTCAGATCCCTGAGTCAACAAAGCACTTTGTAGAGTCCAAAGTAGCGCTTCAGGAGTTTCTCGCTTAGAGCGCGTTGTTGTATCGGGGCCCAAACACAAACACGGTCTCTTGAAACGAACGTCGATCCGGCGAAGGTTGTACCGGGTAGCGTCGACACGCTGTTTATATTGGATTCAGGGTTGGGCGAGCTGGCGAACTTCCTCGGCTCGTTAATCAGCCACATGAGCGTTGGGTCTCCCATCGTAGCTGGTTCGTGAGGCAGCACCGCGTCGGGCATGGTCGTTACGTTTCTGCCATGCACCAGCTGGAACGGGGTTCTTGTAATCTCTTGCATCGCCGTGTTGTAAGCAAACGTGGCGTAGGGTAACGCGTCGTCTCAAGTCTTGTGATCTACGTCGACATACATGAAGGCCATGTCGACAATGGTTTTGTTTAGCCGTTGTATTTGTCCATTTGTTTTCGGATGGTACGCAGTGGTTCCACGGTGGCCGGTGCCACTGAGACGAAGGAACTTTTGCGTCAACTGGGTCATGAACGATGATCCATGGTCTGTAATAACGGCTTCGGAGGCACCATGCCGGAGGACAATGCGCTCGATGAAAAACTTGGCGACTTCGACAGCCATACCTGATGGAAGGGCTTTCGTCTCGGCGTACCGTGTGAGATAATCTGTGGCGACGATTATTCAGCGGTTTGCCGACGCTGACGGCGAGAAAGGGCCAAGTAAATGCATTCCGATCTCCTGCAACGGCGTGGACCGGGGAGAAATCGGATCCAGAAGACTTGGTGGCTTCGTCTCCAGTTTCTTGCGTCGCTGACACTCGTGGTCAGCGACGCAAGTGTAATGGTGAACGTTCTAAGATAGCCTCAGCCAGTAGAACTTTCTTCGAACCCTGGCAAGCGTCCTAATGTAGCCAAGGTGTCCAGCTGTCGGCTCGTCATGGCATGCTTGGAATATTTCTTTTCGAAAACTGGGAGGAATAACCAACAGCAATTACGCGCTGTTGTTGACGAAATTCTCTTTGTACAACACCCCTTGCCGTATGGGGAAGGTGAGTAGTATTCGTAAGAAAGCACAGGGAACCGTATTCGCCTGTCCCTCTAGGTGCTCAATGAGCGCTCGCAGTCGTGGTAGTCTCGTTGGAGTGCTGCCATGCCGCTGACATTCAGAGCGCCGAGGAAACACTCATCGTTGTCGTCTTCGGTGCAGGCAGAACCGGTCTCGACTGGGGCCCTTGACAGGCAGTTGGCGTCATTGTGCTTCCGGCCGGACTTGTACGCCATGGTCATGTCGAACTCCTGCAGTCGTGGGCGCCACCGGGCGAGGCGTCCGGAGGGGTCCTTCAGACCCGCGAGCCAGCAGAGCGAGTGGTGGCCTGTGACCACGCGAAATGGACTTCCATACAAATATCAGCGGCACTTTGTTGTTGCCCAGACGACAGCAAGGCACTCCTTTTTTGTCGTTCAATAGTTCTTCTCCGCCTTATACAGCGCCCGACTCGCGCATGCGGTGACTCGCTCTGCCCTGTCTTGCATTTGGACTAGAACCGCGCCAAGCCTGGTGTTACTGGCGTCCGTATGGACGCCGGTCCACACGGACGTCTCAGCGAACTGGTCGAAATGACCAAGGATTGGGGACGTCTGGAGTCTTCGTTTAAGCTCATCGAATGATCCCTGGTGTTCTTTTGTCCATTCGAACTTTACGGCGGCCTTCGTGAGGTGTGTCAGCGGTGCGGAAAGCTTCGCGAAGTTCCGAACAGACCGTCTGCAGTAGGCACAGAGTCAGAGTGATCTTCTCGCGGCCTTTTTATCCGACGGCGGCGTAAATGCAGCTACGGCGTGGGCCTTCTCGGGGGGAGGGAGAACATCTTTGTTGTTCATGACGGGGCCAGAGAACTTTAGTTAACCATGGGCGAACCGACACTTTTTTGGTCTGATTGACAAGCCGGCGGTTTTGATGGTTTGAAGCACGGCTCGAAGTCGTCTCAGGTGTTCGTTGAAATCCCGTGAAAATATCACGACATCGTCCAGGTAGACGAGGCAGCTCTGCCATTTCCGACCTGGCAGCACGGTGTCCATGACACGCTGGAATGTTGCTGGTGCTGTGCAAGTTCCGAACGCCATCATTTTGAATTCGCACGGTCCGTCGGGAGTGACGAAAGCAGTTTTCTCGCGGTCATGTTCGTCGACTTTAAACTGCCAGTAACCACTCTTGATGTCCATCGACGAAAAATATCGGGAGTGGCGCAGTCGGTCTAACGTATCGTCTACGCGGGATGCGGATGGACGTTCTGCTTAGTCACAGCGTTCAGTCAACAATAGTCAACGCAGAACCTCAAAGTACCGTCCTTCTTCTTTACAGGGACCATGGGGGAAGCCGACGGACTTCTTGAGGGTTGAATGATGTCGTCGTCCAGTATTTCCTGGACATGATCTTGGATCAACTACCTCTTAAGGAGACTCGATATGGTGACTGGCGTAGAGGAAGCGCGTCGTCGTCGGTAATAAAGCGATGTTCCGCTATTTGTGTTTGGTGAAATTTCGACGACGTGGCAAAACTGTCACTGTGTTCGGCGAGGAGATCAACCAGTTGCCGGCGCTTATGAGCTGGGAGCTCGGGATCGATGTCGAGCTGCTGCGGCGACGTGTTCTGTTGTGACGACGAGGGTTCCTCGGAGATCGCGGTGACCACGGCTGGCGCCTGAAGCTCCTTTACATCGCCCACGGTGGTACTTTCGATTAGGTGCTGCGGCTCTTCTCGATAGTTGGTCATGAGAATGGTTGTACCTCCTTCTTGGAGAAACATTACGCCTCGCGCGACGCCATTTCCTTTTTCAAGGAGCGGTTGGATGCTGCCTTCCAGAAGAACTTCCCCGTGCATGGTTGCGGCTGTTATGACGGTGAGGAAAACACTCGACCGCGGCGGCAGGTTCACATAATCGGCGATAACTCGGACAGCGGTTGACGTCGTGTTGGTCTCCACCGGCGGCAGAACAGGCTTTCGCAGCGCCAACTGGTTTGCCCTGAGGTCGATGACGGCGCCATAATCGCAGATAAACTCTATTCCGAGGATAACGTCCCTCGCACAGTCTTGCAGAACGACGAACTTCACAGGGCACGTCTCACCGTGGATCTGGACGGGAGCTGTGCATCTCCAGATTCGTGTAATGAGGTGTCCTTCGGCGCTTCGTATTTGAGGTCCATCCCACGGCGTCATGAGTTTTTGAACGCGGCGGGAGAGCCTCCCACTCACGACTGAGCAGTCTGCTTCGGTGTCCACGGGTGCTGATGCGTCGTGGCCATCCATGACGACGTTAAGATTGCTGGACACCGTTGCAGGGGTGTCGTTGCGATGCGTGCAGTCGAGAGAGTGGGAGCGCTCCGGCGTTCTTGGAGGCTCTTTACTTCAATCGTCTTCGGCAACTCCACCTCCATTGGTTGCCGCGCCCAGTTTCTCCAGTGAGGAGTGAGGGGCGACAGGTTTTCACGTCTGAGTCGGTGAAT